AAGCTGAACGCCAAGAATAGGGCGGGAAGGGCAATGTAGGCGGCAATAAAGAGGGATCGGATTTGGAATAATGCATCGCGCAGAACGGAAGGGCGTAACACGCGCGTAAGCACGCGCCTAAAGTAAAAAATATCAATTCTCCAACACCTAATCTGCGAGATATTCCTGAGCCGGGAACACACAGCAATACGTAAACAATAAGATTTAAGCAGCAAATTGACCAGATGATCATTCTCCTTACAATCGAAAAATAATCAAAGAATAATCCAAGAATAATCGATCGTGATCGACCTATTTTTTTTCGCAAACTGCGTTTTTTGGTGTGTACGGCCCTTATTGTTTTAGTCTTTAAATAGAAATATTTAAACTTTTAACATAGAAAGGTAATATATGTATATATACAATCCCAAATAGAAAAAGCGATCTCTTCCTAGCCAGTAACTGACCAGGAATTTTGGTTACTAGTTAGTATCTGGTCAGTTTAAATGCTTCACCATTTGCTTCGCCAATGACTGGACAGTAAAACTAATCAGTTTCTGGCGAGTTTCTGATCAATTGTTAGCCAGTTTCGAGCGAAACTTTTCTTGTATAAAATTTCAAAATTTTCATCGTTCGATTTTACGTTGCAACATATCATATTTTATTATCTAATGTAAAAATGAACTCGTGTTTTAATATTTGTATTTAGAGGCCAAAGAAAAACCACATCCAGAATTAGAAGAACATCCAGCATTAGATGCGTGTCTGGATATTGATACTTTTACATGACTAGAGAGGTGCGCAAGGTGAAATGCACGGGGTTAAATGAAATTACAGATTGCAAAATGCATTGCGAAATGAATCGTGCGAGAGTTTCAGCTGCGCCAGTGTAAGCTCGTTGAACAGGCGCGCCTTAATGCGCTTCTGTGTAATATAGCTAATTGAAGTGGGTAACGTCGGCAGGCACGACGCCAGAGGTTTCGCGCAGGACGCGCAAGAAGAATTAATAACTACGCTATTTTGTACACGGAATGCGTCGCATATCGTGCACTTTATCTGAATTATAGATATTAACAATCGAATTATGAGGACGAGAGAAAGAGAGAGAGAGAGAGAGAGAGAGAGAGAGAGAGAGAGAAAGCGAGAATGAAGATAAGAACGGCATCATTCTTTCTCCTTTTGCTCGCCAACACGTAATCTTAACTGCGCGATCTCGGCGGCTGTTTAATTTAACACAATACCGAGTCGTCTCTGGAATTACGCGACTCGCGATCAAAGTTAGCGGCAGATTCGTCACGAGCGGTAAAGACGCGCAATTTCGCGACAACACGTCCGATTTAAACGCCAGAGATGTGCGATTCCCATGAAAATCGATTTTGCCAATTTACTCTGGCAGCCAACTGATCTCCTCAACAACAAGGAAGGACATTTTTGTTTGGAAGATATCTTTGTTTTTGACATGTCAATCTTCATATGAGATTACCTAACGATTAAACGAAGATAAATCATTCGCAGAAATATATTTTATACGATTCAACGATGAGTTCGTGTCGTGCCAATATTTGGGAATTCAGTTCTTTGAATTCAGTTTGTCAGTTATTTCAATCAGTTTTCATTAAAGAATCGCCCACCCCTGGCGCTTTTTCCCGTGTATTATGTCAGCGTTGGCCGAAATTTCACGTCGCTCACGCGAACTGTCACTCGCACACACGCTCGCGCACTCTCGCGCTCTAATGGAACTCGCGCATCCATCTGCTCTGTGCGATCTTGCTCCGCTGGAAAATTGTTCGTCCTCACAAGCGGCTAGCGAGTGAGCGTGTTCAGTCGCGGCGATCCTTTTTGCGCGGGCGTTGAAATTCGACATAGGGGCTCTACTCTTTCTCTCTCTCTTTCTCCCTCTTTCTCTCGCTCTCCCCGACATTGGCCGATGTTTTCGGAAAATCGTTAGGAAATTAATTGCTTGTCACACGGGACGACCTTTCACGACGATTCGCCTCGCCGCACAGTGGCGCCGCAAGATATGCGTTGTTTCAAAAAAGTCTAGAACCCTCAATTTCCTATATTTATATATGTGTAACTAATTTCTAAAAAAAATTTTTTTTAAATTGGGAGGGATTTCTTGCAAATTTTAAGACAATCCTATCAGAAAAAGTGCGTTAACTAAATCTCGAATGTATCGAAGTGGGTGAAGCCTCTTTTCCGCGATGCTAATTGGTCGTCTCAACCGTCTCGATTGTCTCGATCCCGTCGCAGTTGAATTCGTGCCGCTTGCAGCTGTCAGCCGCGGTGACAGATCAGGTTGTGTTGTTCGCGTCATATAAATTTGATATTTATTGTAATAGGAAATTACAACTAACATGTATGTTATATGTAACATTGTATTTGCTGGGAATATAATTTGTAAAAACGATTATTGTAATATAAATTGTAAATAGTACAACAAAAAGACTAAAGTGGCGCGCGCGAAGCGCGCACTATGTGATGTTCTAGTCCTATCAGAAAAAGTGCGTGTTAACTAAATTTCGAATGTATCGAAGTGGGTGAAGCCTCTTTTCCATGACGCTAATTGACCGTCTCGACCGTCTCGATTGTCTCGATCCCGTCGCAATTGAATTCGTGCCGCTTGCAGCTGTCAGCCGCGGTGACAGATCAGGTTGTGTTGTTCGCGTCATATAAATTTGATATTTATTGTAATAGGAAATTACAACTAACATGTATGTTATATGTAACATTGTATTTGCTGGGAATATAATTTGTAAAAACGATTATTGTAATATAAATTGTAAATAGTACAACAAAAAGACTAAAGTGGCGCGCGCGAAGCGCGCACTATGTGATGTTCTAGTCCTATCAGAAAAAGTGCGTGTTAACTAAATTTCGAATGTATCGAAGTGGGTGAAGCCTCTTTTCCATGACGCTAATTGACCGTCTCGACCGTCTCGATTGTCTCGATCCCGTCGCAATTGAATTCGTGCCGCTTGCAGCTGTCAGTCGCGGTGACAGATCAGGTTGTGTTGTTCGCGTCATATAAATTTGATATTTATTGTAATCCCAGCAAACACAATGTTACATGTAACATAAATGTTAGTTGTAATTTCTTACTCAACAAACAATATAACTGTTATATAATATACGTGTTATATAACAGTTACATTATTGAATAGGGAATTACAACTAACATGTACGTTACATGTAACATTGTATTTGCTGGGAATATAATTTGTAAAAACGAATATTATAATATAAATTGTAAATACAACGAAAAGGCTAAAGTGGCGCACGCGCTATGTGGTGTTCTAGTCATTTAAAAAAAGCATAAAAATTGGTTGAAAATTGATGGCTCAGATTTTTTTAAAGAACATGTCTTGCGGCTGTTCCGCTCTGGCGTCGCGTCATTTGCCTTTGCGTTTCGCTGCTGATATCGGGATCCTTTAATTCAGAGGAATGGCAATCGGCATGGCCGGTAGTGCGACCCGCTTATTTTTCTCTCCCTCCCTCTCTCTCTCTCTCTCTCTCTCTCTCTCTCTCTCTCACACACACGACCCCGTACACGTATTTCACGTCACGTGTATACGCCATGCCGTTTAACCTTCCCCACGAGGAAGGTTTCTGCGCACTCTTCATATTTCGCGACTCACTCTCGCATTATATATATGCCGTGAAACGACACGTGACGTATCGCTAAAAGCGCTCATGGAAAGTTGAACGTATATACGTGCATCATCTACGGCCGCCGCGCGAATGAGAATCGCCGCGCGTCTTCACGTATATCGCGAAAATTTCGAAAAACATACAATCTCTTTCTTAGCGGAGTCCTCTGCATCCTAGGGGATCTTATTCTTATGCGTGACTTTAAGAGGATTCTCATCCGCTAAGAGAAAAATATTCTACAAACAAAATCGATGAATAATCCAAAGAAAAATGTTATAAACACGATATTCTTAACGTTGGTAGAATTTCGTTTCTTACCTATAATACAAATTTTGCTCTCAATAGAAATTTTTTTTAGTGAGAGGACATTCTCTGCGCTTTAAACAAATATATTTTCCTCGATTCAAACGGAAAAGAAAACGTCAGGATAATATCCAGCAGATTCCCGATTACTAGTTCACATCATTAGGAGGTGAAGTTTTCCGTTCAGGTCGCTAGAGAGAACATCTTGAGAGAACTGGAGCTCTTTGTTTAAGCGTACCGTGCACGATTTCGAAATTTTAAACGTGAACGAAAACATAGCGACGTGCTTACACAGAGCAAACAGCGGGATCGAGAAAGTTGGATTGAAATGAAAATTGAGATTAAGTGAAAATTAAAATTTCAAATTGAAATTAAACATAAGGTTGCTCGCAATCGCCGTCCGACGTGAATTCCCGTTCCGTGTTTGGCTGACACTCGCGTGCACTTGGCGCACGTACTCGACTCTCGGAGAATTAGAGGTTTCTTGGCTGTTTGACGTTGCAGCTCAGTGGCGTGTCACGTTAATCGTTGCATCGGATCGCGTCCCTCGGTAATCGTCTTTGACCACGATTTACGGCGAACCCCTTTATTAGGAGCGGAATCTTTCCGGGTGTGCTCTAGTTTCCGGGCCGGAATCGTTTTATATGTTACACATGCTGATACCCTCCGACCTAAATTCGATACAATCACAGATAGCTTCGATTCTCCCTTAATGGCTGTTGCCGAGTCGATAAAGAAAAATTGAAGGAGGAACTCCGCAGGAGCCCTTCTTTACCCCCACCGTTCGCTTTGTTAGGACTACTGACCTGCCTTAACATACTTTGCACCGTTCGTGAGATAGAGACGGAGAGAGAAATAGAGAAAAAGAGAGAGAGAGAGAGAGAGAGAGAGAG